GAATATTGCACTAAATACTTATCTCTGCCAAACGCTACCGTATAATGCCGAGCCGCGAACCTCTACCTGACTGTTTACAATGTTGCTGCCCTACCACAATACATGTATCGATATTTATTAATATCGATGCGGATATTAATCAATTTAGATAAGGTTCATTAGAATAACTAAATTACACTAAAAAAAGTTATAATTTATATATATAATCACATTAATTAGTAATAATTATTTTATTCGTCGTTATTTTATAGTCGTTCCTTCGGCCAGAACCAACTTACTGGCAAAAATGCCACTTACGTACTCGCGCAATCCGTGTAATCAACGAAATTAGCACTAGAATTGATATATTCTCGTGTAACTTGAGTGAGCTCGCGAGGGTTATAATAAATGTAGTATCGTATAACTTTTAATATTAAAATTTTTTACTTCCCTACTATTTGCTTTCTTTTCATTTTTAGTTCTATTTCTGTTATTTTAAAGTTATGTAATTATGTGTTAAATTAGTTTAATATTAGTTGTAGCCTCACAATCGCATTGGGTTTCCTGTAAGGATTGTGTAGGATGTGTTTGTGATAAATAAATAAATAAATTATCGTGACGCTTACACAATGTACACCGCAAACATTGCACGCCACTCTAAGCGGCAAAAGACTTACTTTTGCTTGTAACTGAGGGCTTTTTTTTTGTTGACGGGGTGGAAAATTCCTTCAGATCTCTTGCTCCTCGGGAGCCGGGAGTAGGTATGTGTTTAATTCACTAAAAACCACACCAACGGCCGCTTTCAAGTACCCTACTCTGGGAGGACTAGGACCATGTTATCAGGTCCTCCCCGAATCGACACCGTAACTAATCAGGCCCTATTCTAGGGCAAAACACTTCCCACTGTGAGTGAGGGCCTAGTGTGAGTTTATTTTACATCAAACTCTCAAACTCAAATATCTTTGTTTCAAAAAATTCTTCAACTCAATCGTCACGGCATGCGCGTTTACGATTGCGATTGGTGAAGATTTCACTGTGAGCCAATCACAACAAATAAGTAAAAAATAGCTATTAGAATAATGTTGATTATCTATTCAAACAAATAGAAACATTTTAACGTATTTTTCATCTATACTAATATTATAAAGAAGTAAAGTTTGTGTGTTTGTATATTTGTTAAATTGTAAGGGGTAATCTCGGGATCTACTGAACCGATTTTAAAAGTTCTTTCACCAATGGAAAGCCACATTATTGCTGAGTGTCATAGGTTATATAAAAAACCGAAAAATAAAAAGGCTTTTACGTGGTAGTCCGTTTTGCAAAGTGAATCGGAGAAAAAACGGTCGAATGAAAGCGTTTCTAACGAACGCTGCCTTAACTATGAAAGATATATTGTTGAGTTCTAGAAAAAAGATGTGGAGCTTGAAAATGCCTACAAAAAAGTCAACGACAGCATATGTCTAACTTTTATATTTAAGTTATAAAAAGTAGCACTCCACCTTTAAGCTACCTCTGACAGTCTCACTGCGCAACAGTCAGTTTGTTCCATACGTAAAAATGGGCCACTCGGGAAACTTTTACAAGAAACATCTTTAATTATATGGGACGAATGTACCATGAGTCATAGAGCTCATGTTGAAGCAGTAAACCGAACGCTCAAAGACCTCAGAAACTCTGATGCTGTAATGGGTGGCGTTACTTTTGTTTTCGCGGTTGATTTTCGGCAAACACACTGCCTGTAGTAACAAAAGGAACACGCGCCGATGTCATCAGTGCATGCTTAAAATCATCTCACTTATGGAGTTCGGTTGCATCTCTCAATTTACGAACAAACATGAGAGCCCATTTGAGCGACAACGACGATGACGACTTTCCGCGTCAACTACTCAATCTTGGCGAAGGAAAAATTGTCTCTCCTAACACCAACAGCAATTACATTAAACTTGACGAGACATTAGGACACATATTGCACAGGTTGGAACATCTTATTGACGCAATATATCCCGGTCTTGAATATTTATTGGAGAGAGATTATCATTGGCTTTGTTCTAGGGCAATAGTGTCAGCCAGAAACGATACAGTGACTGAAATAAATAAACTAATTTTAGAGAAAATTCCCGGTCAGGTCACTATAAGTCTATTGATACGGTGTGTAATATTGAGGATACAGTGCACTATCACTAAGAAACTTTTAAATTCTTTGAACCCTTCTGGCTTACCTCCTCACGACCTTGTGTTAAAAGTTGGCATTCCTATCATCCTATTAAGAAACTTGAGCCCCCCCCCCCCCCAACATGTGTAATGGGACAAGGCTGCTTACAAAAGAGTTACGGGACAATATAATCGTGGCGACCATTCTCACAGGGACAACTGGCTTATATTCCGCGGATACCCATGATTCCCACTGATTTACCCATACCGTTTAAAAGGCTACAGTTTCCAGTGAAGATCTCTTTTGCCCTCACTATTAACAAGTCCCAGGGTCAGACATTCTCTCTGGTGGGCATTGACCTGAGAAAGCCGTGTATTTCCCATGGGCAGTTATATGTTGGTTTATCTCGGGTTGGAACTCCTGATAGACAATATATTTTGCTACCAAATGATAACATTACATCCAATATAGTTTACAGAGAAGTTTTGAACAATTAAAATTACCATATCCAAACTAACTTTGCCCGCGACTTGGTCCTCATGGAATACGTTTATCGCAATCCCGCAGAAAATGTTTTTTCTTTCGGACAGAGTTACTTTCGAATTTTGTATTAGCATGCAAATACAAACTATACCTACGTATAACCCTCCTTTTGGCAGTTAGAAAATAAAACATAACACTCTGTACTAAAAAAGGATTATTAACATTATGCCCAACGAAGTGGGCACGGGTCTGCTAGTTGTTCATATAAATACTTTACACAGTTAAGAATTATGCAAAAATAACTACATAAAGCAATATCGTATAAATATTGTGCCTAAAGTCTAAACAAAGGCAGTTCAAATTGTACTGATCATGTAATATAATTCAAAATGGTGGATATGCAACCGCCAAGCAATCTTTTAGATACTTGTATGTACTTTAGTACTCACTAGATATTAGATTCTTCATATTGCTATCCTATTATGTATTTAAGAATAGGTTACATCAAAAATATAGATTCGGTCCAATATCCTGATGTGACAAAAACATAATGCCTTCACTTGTCAATACATAGTCAAGTCATTTTTATGTTTATTCGCCTTTTGTTCGTGTCGTTTTCAGTTTAGATAAACGTGATTTGGTTTGAAATGTGTCGTTGTCGTGTAATTGAACGTTGACCCGGTAACTTTAAGTTTTTTTGAAAACATCTTTTGTGGAAAAATACAGCGTTGACGTAAGTTATATAATTTTCAAAAACCAACAAAAGGGCACTTGTGATTTGATTTCTGTTGCACACACCGCTCTACTGCAAATCTCGGTGGGGTGACGGCCCGAAGGGGTTCCACAGTAATCTGACTACTTTGGGAGTACAGGATCTGACTACTTTGGGATCAGACGGCCGTGTGTGATATGTCAGTCCATATTATATCTGAACAAAATTCTATGATATCGATATATCTGGCAGAAGACATTGAAAAATGAATCTATATCTGTACTTAGTTACTTGGTTAGTGACCCTGACTGCTACGACAGAGGTCGTGGGTTCGATTCCCACACAGCAAAAATAATTGTATGATGAGCACGGTCATTTGTTCCGTGTCTTTGTGTACTTTATCTATATATATAAGAGATTTCCACGTATAAAGTCACTCATCACGATATCTCTGGAACCATTAGAGCTAAAGACTTGAAATTTGGTAGGAATATTCTTTTCACCGAGTAGAGGTCAGCTAAGAACGGATTTTACGAAATTCAAAAAAAAAAAAAAAAAAATGTAAATAGCAAAGCAACGTTTGCAGGGTCAGCTAGTCTATAATATGTATGTATTTAGAAATATATAAGTATGTTTATCAGCAGTCTGGTTACCATAGTACAGGCTCTGCCTAGTTTGGTATCAGACGACCGTGTGTTATATGTGTGAAAATCATGAATATGTTATTATTATTGTCATACTAACATCATAAAGAGGTAAAATTTGTTTGTATGTTGGGTGTAATCTTTGCAACTCCTGAACTTTTTATCAAAATTCTCGAAATTTGAAGGATCAAGGTTTCTAAAACTACAGAATCACTGGAATATTGCACTAAACACTTATCTCTGCCTTCAACATTATCCGCCTCTTTGAAAATAATAAAATTTTCTCTGTTTTTGCATCGTTTTTCATTGTTGGTCGTAGTACGATGTTATATAGCCTTCCTCGATAAATAATAATCTACCCGACACTAAAATATTTCTTAATTTGACCCAGAAGTTCCCTAGATTAGCGCTTTCAACGAAAAAAGCAAAAAAATTCTTCAGCTTCAATATTAGTTTTATGACTTTACTCACGACGAATAATACTCTGTCATCTGTCATGGGATTTCATTATTATTATTAATGCGTTAAAAAAAACTTCCCATCATTATCTTTGCTTGATACCGTCATTGTTTAAACAACTGTAATGAATACTTAACCATAGGCAGTTGGTGATTCAATCATTTTATTGTTTTTTCTCGTACGTTTAAATATTTATGAGGTTGATAACTGCTGATACCCAATTAAAATATAAGGTAACTGCAAGATACATGGAATGTTAGTCCAAATAATAGCTGAATCTTTTTATCACTTTGTGCCTCGTACAACCTATCTGTGGAACAAGTTATCGTCAAGATACCACCTTCAAACCTTCAAGAAAAGTTGTGACTCAGAGTACTTTCCATCAGGTTTCCCGTCTGCTCGTTTGACTCCTCTTTCATAAAAAGATCTGACTAAGGGAGTAAACTACCGAGAACAAGAGCGTGGTATAGTAGGCCAAAACCTCCTTTCTAAGGAGTGGCCTATGTCCAGCAGTGGACTGTTAAAGGCTGTAAATGATAATTGAAGATGAAATTTAATACTAGTCTAAATAATGGCTGATTCCTTTTATTTGTTTGGTTACAGAGACTTTTCGGTAAGAACTAAATTTGAGTTACTGGTATGAAACCCTGATTTTTTCGCGTTATTGCTTCCATTCCAAGATGCTTCCTTTCCCACCATTGCCTTCAATTTTTAACTACCATTCGTTTCAATATACTACTAATTCTCCAACTAATCCCTGATGTGGCCGGTTGGGAACTATCTGGTCTCTTATCAGTAGGTATACTATCTATAATACTATCTTTATAGCTAGACCTCGTAAATATCGGTGATCGCGGTAAAAAGTAGCCTATGTCTTACTTCAAGAATCAAAGTATCTTCATTCTATATTTCATCTAAATCATTTCAGCCGTTATTGATTCTCCAGACAAAATTCCACCCCCCTTTGCAGCCCCTTAAAGGATGTTTCCTGGAATTAAAACTACCCTATGTCCTTGCCCCGGACCCGGACGATCTCTGTACCAAATTTCATCATTTTTGTCAATCGGTTCAGCGTTTTAAGCGTGAAGGGGTAACAGACATACAGACAGACAAACAGACAGACAAACAGACACACTTTCGCATTTAATATGGATAATAATAAACTTTACACATTTAACGTATTACAGTCTGATCCTAAAATAGGCAGAGCTTGTGCCGACTGAAGTGAAAACTTGTTATTTTTTTATTAAAACAGGTATTTTTTTGTTTCTTTTTTCGATTCAAAAAGTTCCGACATGAATATATATCTATGTTGTACGTATATACATAACATATGTTTATATTATATATAGTTATAATATCAATGTACATATTTCAACCCAAACTCAACTCTCGTGTAAACGGGGCCAATATATATACTGAGGCAACGGTAACAGTGTCGCGAGTTCAATGGTTTTTTCCCATCTCAAATAATACAATCTTTTGTTTGTTGTTCAAAATTGCCCAACGCGCCTAAAGAACTTTTAATAAGAATAATTTCAGAATAAGAACAAGTCGTGGTTACATTTTGTATGATATGATTTATATCTTGGTGTCATTAGATTCTGACTGAATGACTGAATAAGACTAAACATAGGTAACCATATATTTCTAAACACATATTTAAAAAAAAAAAAAAAAAAATATTTCAATTACAGCAACAGTCTTGTGGCTAAGACTTCCCAGTAAGTAATCTTTCGATACTTGTGTTGGGAGTAACTACTAGTAGTAGTAATAACTACTAATAATAGTTACTCCCAAAACCACAAACCTCTAAACCTCCTTCCTAAGGAGAGGCCTATGTCCAGCATAAGACTAGTAAAGGCTGTTGTTGAATAGTAACTAGTAAAATAACAAAAATAGTGGTGAGGACGGATTAAGAATACGGAATGTCACCACCCCCATTCTTCCCGTGGGTGTCGTAAGAGCCGACAAAGGGAACAAACTAGGCAGGAAAACTTGAAACAAATCCTATACCAACCCGTCTGGCCAGCGTGGTATAGTAGGCCAAACCCTTTAGGCCCCTCCTTTCTAAGGAGAAGCCTATATCCAGCAGTGGACTAGTAAAGGCTGTTGATGAACAAAAATAGGTACTTAAGGAACAAATTTAGTAGAAATGGTACTTAACCAATTACTCAGCTCAATTTACCTCAATTACTTATGGGTTTTATTATAGATAAATTACATCCAAACACAGAAAAAATGATCATGCACATCACACAATTATTTGTCCTGGGTGGGAATCGAGCGCACGACCTTCGGCTTAGTAGTGAGGGTCACTAGACTAAATCTACAGACCTGTCAAAAAACAATGGGACTAAAATGTCGTTTAATATGTCTTTGCTTACTTACGTATGTATTTGTGTATGTAATAGCTGTTTTTTTTAATTTAATTGAGATGATAATAACGTCTTTTGTTCTATTTGACAATTAAGATTTAATAAGATTACTGTCAGGCTCCACAATCACAGTACGTCATCAAGAGGCGTACAAGAATCGCGGAACACGACTTCATTCAAAGGTGTGCGGTTCGTCGCACTGGTCTCGAGTAAACGCGTCAATTTACCCGCGATCGAAATTTAAAATTAGAAAAATAAATAAAAGTGCATGTTTTTTTTTTAATAATTTGTGTGTATATTTATTAGTTTGGTAAGTAGACTTTTGTTTATGCTTTAATTAGAACAAGTATATCTGGTTTTATTCATAGAGTAAGGATTCCAGTAATTAAAATTTAAAAATTAATATTATAAGAATTTAATCATATCACTAATTACATATAGATATTACCACATACATTTTATTGTTTATACATATAAACAATAAAATTAGAGTATCTATTTGGGGAATCATAAAAACAGCTATTTACACTTTTATTTTGCCTAATCTCCGGAACGGCTGAACCGATTTCACTAGAAAATAGCTGATGTAATAAGCAGTAACATACACGACTTTTATTTTGGAAATTGCATGATATAATCAATTATCATTGATATTATAAGGAAGATACGTTATATTCATACTGCACACACAATATGTTGTTCCGTAACCGTACTATTAATGCATTTTAGAAGAAAACATACATTTACCTGTGGTATAATATTCCTTTATCTTTATTTACCCTTTTGTCGTGATTTGTGAACTTTGGGAATACACAGGAAGGCATTTTGTCTCGAATTAATTAGTACGTGCGCTCGCTCGCGTTGGTCCTAATTAGAACCAATTGACAGCACGCGTTCTGTGCGAAGGTGGCGTATCTACCTTTTGTTTGTATATAATATCCTTATAAGCTGGTCTGTCCATGTGAGCTCCATGAAACCATGGAGCTCACATGGACAGACCCCAAAATCTTAGTGATGTGTATTTAGATAATTACTGAAATATCACACGCAGTGCAAGTCGAAACATGTCAGATTAGGAATAGGTAACTGACCCGCGCAACTTTGTTTGCGGGCCTCAAAAGGAATAAATTTTCCGTTTTTGCAACATTTTTAGGGTTCCGTACCTCAAAAGGTAAAAAAGGAATCCTTATAAGATCACTTTCTTGTCCGTCTGTCCGTGTGTCACTACCGATTTTCTCAGGAACGGATAGACCTAGCAAGTTGAAATTTATACCAGATACTGAGGTCTATGATCCCTATTAGGTGTATAAAAATCAAGGTCCTGAGTCAACACAATAAAAAGATATGGGCGAATATCAATTTTCTCGAAGACTTGTAAGTACCATAATTTACGTTAATTTTTAACTTTTTTATTTTTCAGAATATTCTCTTTACTTGTGCTGTAAGGCCTTGTTTTTAACCACAATTGACAATTCTAGGTCAACCGAAAGTACCCTACAGGTTTAGGGTCGAAAACCTTTGTGGTAGTTCCCGTTGACCTGGAATCACGAAATTTGGCAAAAACGTCTTACAGCACAAATAAAGGAATAATTCCAAAAATTAAAAATAGTTGAAACTTAAGATAAATTTTGGTACTTACAAATTTTTGCAAAAATCTACATAAAATCTGGGTAGATACGGAACCCCCGGCGCACGAGTTCGACTCGTACCTGACCGGTTTATTTTTCATTTTATTATTATTATGTATTATTGATCATGGATTAACCAGACGCATCCAGCTGCTAGATTGAACCAACTAGCATTTGTGATAAATGCACTAAGTTTTTGGGTATAACTCTAAATTGAAGTGGGGCCTACACATTGATGGACTGTCGAATAGACTCAGCTCAGCAGCATACGCGGTTTATAAAATTCGTCAATTAATCGACGTAAAAACAGCTAGACTATTGTATTTTAGCTATTTTGTTGTGGTTATTTCATATTTTATTAATTTTCTGGTGGTTTTGAGTGTTTCAACCAACTCAAGTGTCTTGCAGGCGGTAGTGTCGTGTTCCGGGTTGTTGATCCTGACTATATCGGTTAGGCTACACAATGGATGGGGCTCGTATGCCGTCTATACAAACGGGCTGACTCAATACTATGGTCCTTTCTTCAAAAGGCCAACCCAGACCCTATACTGCACTCACATAGTTCTCTTTAACATTGTACACGGACTTAAAAAAAAAGACACCTCTGTGGTTCGGTTTGGCGTTTCTTCCCAGAGCGAATCTTAGGCAATGCCGGCTTCTTCTAGCTGTAAAGTCCGACTTGTAAAAATATCTGAAAAGATTCACTTGCAGAAATAAATATCATTTCATTTCAAATACCATACATACATAATTTTTTTATACTTTCGGACATCTGACACACATCACTAGGTCTCTAGTTTCAATCTAAGCAGAGCTCGACTACGAAAGCTAGATTTACTGATAGAACACTTATATACTTGTTTTTGTAAATACATACATATTATACATAGAAAACACCCAAACTCCGAAACAAATATTTGCAGATAACATAAACATTTGGTCCGACCCGGGAATCCAACCCGAGATCTCAGCACAGCTGTCGCATACGCTACCACTGTACCATAGAGGCACATTCTTTGGTACCACTGTACCATAGAGGCACATTTCATTTTCTGGTGTCCTGAAATACAGGCCTCGAGCCTAGCTTAGGCACCAGTCTCCCACAATATTCTGGAAATGATAATTTGTATTTTTTGTTTTATTCAAATGTAATGTATACTATATTGTGGTGAGAAATTAAATTATTATATTATTATTCTACATACAAATCCAGATAGATATAACATGTATAACAAACTGGCCTGTTGGTTCAGTGTTTAGTGATCAGTCAGGAAGCCAGAAGTCGTGGGTTCGATTCCTACCCAGGAGAAATGTTTGTGTAATGAGCACGATCATTTGTTCCATATCTGGGCGTAAGTTATCTATAATATGCTTGTATTTCGAAATATTTACATATCCGTGTATGACACGGTCCATCCATGGAATTGTCCACTCAAACAGTCCTTCTATCTAATGTAAATTAAATTACAAAGCTGCCAGAGCCCTGACGGTTAATTCTCGTAATAAAAGTTCGATCACAATTCAGTTCCCATTAACTCTCGATTTCACAACTGTCAAAAAAGGTACTTAAAGTATCAAACATCCAACGTTGACTGTAATGTGATTATATCGTATTGTAACCGTATATTGAATCGGTAATCGGTAAACCTTTACTATGAAAATACCTTTTAGGACAGTTGTGTGATCGAGAGTTGATCAGAACTAAATGTTGACAGAACTTTATTACGAGAATTGGTCTTATGGCATACATAAACCAAAGGTAAAAATCAATTGGGTACCACAGTTTAAAACAATACCATTTTAATATGATTCTGATATCTTTACTGTATTCTGTTGAGATTACCATTTATTCAATAAATAAATATGGCTGGCCTTAGAATATAAAGTTTTGGTTAAAAGATAAGACATTTATATGAAAGTCAAAATGTGTGTGTTTTACAGCGCTGTGACATTTACAACTATTTTGAGTTTGTTTTCTTATCACGAGGCTCAAGCAATAGAAACGGGCGGTTATAGATTGACACAGATAGATCATTACTAGACAGTCATAGACTACTACTAATACTCATTCTTAACCTATCGACTTCCATAATAGATAACCATGTATAGGGAATTAACGCGCCCACGGTATTAAGTACGATAACTCTGAATGTAAGGGGCAGCCAGTGAGACCGTTAACATACCAGGCAATTGAAAGGTTCTTAATATATATTGTGAGTGCTTTAATTGCCGTGAACATAATTATGTAAGTCACATACGCTGTTATCTGTTACTCAATTTTTAAAACAATTTTTCATTAGACAAAGCAATGCATTATTGCGGTGACTCTGTGTGTTTACCTTTAAAATTTACGATGTAATAATAAAAACGGCGTAAAGGGTCTATGGACCCGCGGTGGGAATGAAGTTCCTTTCGCTTTTTGGTAGACGTTTGCTATACAGTTACTTTTTGTTTTTTAAAGGCTTACTAGCAACCGAAATTACTAGTATTCCCGTTAACCCCTCCAGCTAAGCTAAATTGCTTGTGTGGAGTGGGTTCACGTCGGTAGTGTACTGGTCAGGATTCGAACCCACGACCTCTTGATCCCAAGTCCAAAGCCTTAACCACTAGGCTACCGCCGCTTAGGTAATTATAATTTATGTTATAAAATATCAAGTTAATAGAGTTAAATTGAAAAAATTATGTATATTATGTATAAAACAAATAATGATAAATTAAACACTGAATGACCTGGTATAATTAAGTTAATAAAAAATGAAAATTTAGGAACTATAAACTTTAATTTATTAATACCTTCAGCAAGAAAAAAGTCTCAGAGCGAGTAACGGGCGACAAGGAACTTCGTTCTAATTATACGAGTATACTCGTATAAAATCATAATTTTGTGTTAAAAACAATGAATTTTAATTAGAACTTGAGTCATTAACTCCGTGGGAGCGTTTTTGCTTCGACACATTTTAGGTCAAACGAGGTGATATCACTGCCTCACATAGAAAACCAGTATTAATTCGTTGCTCTTCACCGAGTGAGTTAGTTTACCAGAGCACCACCCCCCCTTTTTTTTTTTTTCCCGGGCGGAAATCCCCTCGGATACCACCTGTCGGTGGCATGTCGGACTCGAACCGACTAAAACCGCACGCCGTCTCGGGTACTAATAGCCGGGGAACCAGTTATACCCTAGAAAGGAAGTCCCTGGTGCCCCGACATACCTCGGGTCATCTACAGACGAGTAGACGACCCTCCCCCACGTGTGGGAACCCCATGTTCCCTGTGAAAGGACCAACCCCCTAACCCACAACACTCAGCGCAGTGGGAACGAGGTGACGCTTAAATCGTATGTATTAAAAAAAAAAATCTTTATTGAAAACAAACGGATGATCCATTAGTGTTTTGATAGTCATCTCGTAAATGTTATTACATCATGTTTGTGCGCTACTCAACTTATGAGTACTAGTGCTCTAACAAGTGCTCGGTAAACATCAAATTATGTGAAACGTGATCACTTATATATTCTTGACCTTATACATTTAGAGAGGTTCTGCACTTCCTTCTACTTTTTATATCAAAGACAGTGAATAGCAGTAAACCTTGGATTGTAATTGTCAAAATTAATATTCTTTTATAATTTTTACAACTTAAGGTACTTACGTACATCGGCGTTCTTAACGTATAATTCGTTCTCTACCAGAATAACTTTGGGTGTAGAAATCTTGTAAGGTACACGGGTACATATGACAGACAGCCAGTACAGAGGTTACACATGTAATCATTGAAAATATATGTTTTTTTTTTTCAGTTAATATATTAAACTACATACTAATTCAGGTAAAAATTTCGAAATACGTCGCCATTATAAGGGGTTGTGAGTGGTTGGGGGAGGGGGGGGGGGAAAGGGCCGGATCCCCCCCTCACCATTTTCACCCGCCGGAAATACTTGGTTCCCTTAGAAAAAATAAAAACAGAAATTTGTACAAAAATTTTTATTCCACTTTATAAACATGTTTTATCGCTTTTATTAATTCCATGAATGGATCTTTCCTGTATTTTACGTTATTTCGCGCCACAAATATTCAAAAATAACATCTGCAAAATTTTCTGTGTTATTAAAATTGTCCTTCCTAAAAAAATTTTAACAGCCCTCCACTGGGACTCAATTCGTTGAGTATGAGTCCCATCTTCAGCTATGAATGGGTTGTCACGATCCGAGTGGTTGACTTTTTTTGTTCTTTCCCGTTTGTGCAATATTTTTTATTTTATTGATTGAATGTTTTCAAAAACTAAACTGAATAGTCCTCTTTGTGTCTTGATAAGGAATTCTTAGAATTTTTACAAGTGTTGTCATAGTATTGCACCATTTTAGAATTGTGATGAGTTGCGGTAACTTTTGTAATAACATGCCATAGTACATTTCATACATTTTTTTTTACACAGTAGCATGTCAAAGTTGATTAAAAGTTTAAATATTCAAAAATTTCAAGAAAAAAGATTGTTTATTTTATTTTTATATTAAAAGCTACAAATGTATAGGTCCTATTTGGAACTGCAATTAATAGTTATGTTACTTAGGTAGCTAATACAAAAAAAATGTGGGGATATGTTTACATTTGTAACCACAGTATCTAATCATAGGGTGTAGGGTATCAAATTAAAACATTTTTCAAAAAAGTTAATGTAACTTTGAAAAAAAACCATCCACCGGTCCCGGCTTATCGTTGAATTTTGGGACACGTTGTATATATATATATATATATATATATATGTATATATATATATATAGATTCTTCGATAAATAAGCAGTCCAACACTAACATCGATTTTTTAAATGGAGCCAGTAGTTACTGAGATTACGCGTCGTTCAACCAAACAAACTGTTCAGCTTTATAATACTCGTACACTAGCTGACCCGCGCAACTTCGTCTGAGTCTCTCAATAGTAATAAATTTTCTCCGTTTTTGAAACATTCTTCATTGGTGCTCCGATCCTAGTGGTCTTAGCGTGATGATATATAGCCTATAGCCTTCCTCGATAAATGGGCTATCTAACACTGAAAGAATTTTTCAAATCGGACCAGTAGTTCCTGAGATTAGCGCGTTCAAATAAACAAACAAATAAACAAACAAACAAACTCTTCAGCTTTTTAATATTAGTATAGATATTAGTAAAGATACTTACTTTACATTGTCAAGTTTATTCACTTAAAGGTCGGATTGAAACGATGACTTACAAGATTCTATTATTAACATGCAAAATGCGTGTTTAATTAAAGATAATGATATTTTATTAAACGATATGCTACAAATGATATTTTGTTAAAACATATAAAAACGCACTTAAAAGGCTGTTCAATGTTTTATACAATTTTTATTATTGCTAGTTTCACTAGAGATGATGATATGAGTTGGTATGAGTCGACGGGCCTGTTGGTCTAGTGGTTAGTGGCACTGACTGCTAAGCCGGGAGGTCGTGGGTTCGATTCGCACCCAGGACAAATATTGTGTGATGAGCACGGTAATTTGTTCTGTGTCTGGGTGTAATTTATTTATAATATGTATGTATTTAAAAATATATAAGTATGTTTATCAGCAGTCTATTTACCATAGCACAGGCTCTGCCTAGTTTGGGATCAGATGGCCGTGTGTGAGATGTGTTAGGTTATTGTTAGTTAAATATTTATCCAACTGACTGCATGCTTACTGCTTCTACATTAGAGATGCCACGAATAGTGTTTTGGCCAATATTATTGGATAAATTGGAATAACGAATGTTTGGCGAGTCTCTTGCTAACATTTAGTGTCTTTAGCGGGTTTAAACCTAAATCAGTAAAATGTTCAGCAAACGTAAAACAATATCTTTTTTTTTTAACGTGTGGAAACCCACTCGAGCCGTCACCCCACCGGGGTTTACGGCGGGGTGGTGTGTCGGAATCGGACCGACTAAAACCACACGGTGTGCCACTCTGCGCCTGTAATAGGAGGGATCCGGGAACTGCTGTTATTAGGACCTCCGGATCCCTCCTAGCGCCTGCCCGCAACAGTGCGGGTACCACCTTCAGGTACATTCTCTATTTAGGCGACGTCCGGCACACGCGGACGTCGCCTCCTCGCGGCTGGCCGTTATGGCAGGTGGAGGGGAAAACCCGTCCCGTCCACCCGCGGCCACGCTCAGGGCGGCATGAGGCGGTGATAAGCGCACCTCCGCCGCCCCTTTCTGCGAGATGACGTCTTCGCAGAAGGATGCGACCGCGGTAAAACATCTGTCGCTACCGGCCATGGAGCGTATGACGGCCGGTAGCGAGAGATCCCCCCGATGACAGCAATGAGGACCCGTGTGCTGAGCCGAGTCCTCACTACAATCGCAGTGGTGACAGGCGGGACTCAATTCCCTCCTAGCGACCGAGTGCGAGTAAAACAATATCCTAACCTAACCGAATTTGCTAAGATTTATTTATCATCTCCTGGAAGCAATATATGCAGTGAGCAGCCAGTTCCCGAAGCACGTATTTATAAGGGAAAGCGGAATAGTTTCCTATCAATAAATGCTGAAAAAAAGGTGTTAAGTATTTATATGTTAAGTTTATGGTAAAAAAAATCTTTGTGAGTCATATTATTCTCACTATTCAAATAGTGGGAAAAAATGCCGAATAGGCCAAATACCGAATAGTTGCCGAATTTTCGTGAAATCTCTAATTGACATATCAAATTATTATGTTAATACAATCTATAACTATAAACTGCACCAGTTTAGATAGCCATATGTCATATATGGGGTCTAATCTAAACTGGGGTAGAGGGGTTAAAATCCCACCAATTTAAAGTCCCAGAGCGATACCTGGAGTAAAAGAAAGGAAAATTATTGAGTATAAATATTTTAGTTTTAAGATCACCAATTACTTTAAGCCTTTTGTTCAGTATTTATCACGTGAAATGCTTCACGCGATACATTTTATTGTGTTTTAATATCGAAGAGCATTAAGGAAAATGGAGTTGTAAACCTTGCAATAATAATTAGATTTTATAATTAATTAATGCCGTTTAATTGAAAGTTTCCCCACGTTTTTGTTTTCCTATGTGCCTGAGCAGAATATCTTCAAGTAAGTGCAGATATCGAGTCGTGTTATCTTTGTAAACTACTCGTTTGTATGTATGTTTTTAACACGGAATCTTAATTACATTTAAAAAATAAAAGTAATCTAACTTGCTTCTTATATCATTAACTATCTGCCAGTGAAAGTCGAGTGCAAATTGAATCGTCCGTTCTGGAGATTAGCCTTAACAATCAGACACACAATTAAATGTGTAAAATTGAATTTTGGTTTAAGAACATACCATGTAAATAGATACTCCAGTTTTTTATTTGTATAGATTAAATGATATTAAAGACAGTAGCTGACCGCAGAGCATTCGATTGCAATGTTAGAGGTTGCGAGTTCGATTTGCGCTAAGCGCAAATAAATATTTGCATGCTTAAATATACCTTTTTACACAATACACAAATTTACTACTAATTTACAAGTGGAGCTACAAAAAGTCTGTTAAAAATCTTGTACTAATTTGTTCTAATGACGATTTCAGATACAATGACAGGTGTGGTAAAGCCGATAACGATAGAGAAAGAGTTTGAGAAGAATCCTGACATATCACCAGATGATATAAAGAAGCTAAGAGAATGGTTAAAGACGCAACCTCACCTTCCAGGGGAACACTTGACAGGTTACTATTTTAATCAGCATATTCCTTAAAATCTCTTGAAACTAGTCCATGATTTGCTGTTTAACTGTTTGTTTTTACTCTTCTTTCTATTTTTGCTTCTAATTTCTTGTCTATTCCACAGTGTGTCTATTTATGTATAGTATATATTTATTCCACTTGTCTATTACATACAGCTGGATAGTTCTTAAGAAAGGAGTCGTGAAAACTGTTTTAAGTTCCGTTTGCGAAGTATTTAACAAAACAGAAATAAATTGCAGTTTAAATATCTTATACTAGCTGACCGGCGCAACTTCGTCTGCGTCTCTCAATAGTAATAAATTTTCTCCGTTTTTGAAACAATCTTCATTGGTGCTCCGCTCCTATTGGTCTTAGCGTGATGATATATAGCCTATAGCCTTCCTCGATAAATGGTCTATCTAACACTGAAAGAATTTTTCAAATCGGACCAGTAGTTCCTGAGATTATCGCGTTCAAACAAACAAACAAACAAACAAACTCTTCAGCTTTATAATATTAGTATAGATTTGTAATTTAAATCGATTGCATTTTTCATCATCAACAGCCTTTAATAGTCCACTGCTGGACATAGGCCTCTGACTTAATTGTCAAAAAAATATTCAGATCTGTATATTTTTTAATGTAAATACATATATCCAAAACAAAACTAAAATATTTTTTAACTTTAAAGCCAAAGTTCAGCCAAACTTTGGCTTTAAAGTTCTGAGTAATGAACCGGTATTTAAAACTAATCATTTTTGTCATTTTTGCAAGCATAATGATTTGTATTTGTTTAAATTCTGGATTAGGGCATATAACTAACACTGATAATAATCATACATTATTAGAAGGTCAAATTAAATTTTACCCTGGTTTATAATTCTCAACAGTAGAAAAATTATTACGTATCATTTCAGTAATCAAAATAATGTATGTAATTTTGTATAATTTTGTCAAATATGGATTACACAGGAACTGGAAATTGTTCTAAACATAAAACGACAACAATTTCAGTAATTATGATTGAAGGTTGCTGTACAACTTATTTCATTAATTTATCTATGATATAGACCATGAAACTAGGGACAAAATTATTGTATATTATATTGCAATTTTATTAAAAATTATAAAGTATTCTACAAATTTATCTTGTTCGATCTTTATCAGATAAACTAGGTGTTCATGGAATGCTCTGTTAAATAAATAGTAATGCATTTAAGGGTTATAATTGGGGAGATGTCTGTCAAGTCCAAATCCTACATTTTTTATAGACGTTAAAACCCTTGAATGAAATATTAAAGCGTTAATGCCGAAGTTTTGCAAAGAAGATCAACACAAAATACTCAGTAATTTCAGACAAGGTACTGTGTATATTGAATTGTTAAAAGCACGATTGTCTAATCGCAATTTGATTTTGAGATCTGTTAAAATATTGACAGATCTGAAAATCAAATTAAATTGCCACTAGCTAATCGTACAAAGAAGTAATTAATAGTTTACTAATTAAGTATATTCTCGAATGTCTTGTATTTCTACCATTTATTTACAATTAGTGACTGATTTCTACGAACTGTTTGTGATAATAATTCTTTCAATGTCCAAGTTTAAGGAAATCTGAATATAATTAAAACGTCATGACAGCCAGCTAATAATTAACAATCTAAGAATAGTATTAAGTAAAGTGGTTTGGCGCAGACACGGTACTATTATAATACAGTACTCCAACTTCATACAAACGGACGAAACGCGAGCTATACCTACGCGCCTCGATCTCGGGGTGCGCTCGGGGCGCAGACAGTCAAGGCTGTAACGCAGTGCCGAACGGACGGTGTGTTGTTTTTTTAAAAATAACGTAGGAAACGAGTAGGAAATATTGTGCTGTTTTTGGTTGTATGAATTCGTCAATAACGCATCCAGACATAAGTTTTTTTAAATTACCTGGAAACTCTGAAAGGTAAGACTATAAAATAATTTTACTTACTAGTAGGTAGGTACATAATGTGTGTCTTTTTAATGGATAAGTATTTCCTTTTATCTCACGAAAAAAAAGGTGTTTGGATTAATAAATAAAGCGAATAGAGTAACGGAAAATTATTGAGACGAGTGAAATAGGTAGTGTATCAAAATGTATAGGGAGTGAATCAAAAAACAACACGCATTTTTATTGAACACTTCCTATTCAATATACAAAGTATTTCATTTATTTATATAAAAAGGATATTTACAATCACAATTCTAAATAGAAACAGAAAGTAGGCAAATATAATTAAAATGCTGGAGACGGGCAGCCCTAACGCATGTTTACGTACCGCGCGGCTGTAGGCATTTATTTCTATCATGCCGCCGAGTTACAGTACTGTATTATAATTGTACCGTGGCGCAGAGGTGGTTCATTCGAATGTCATCCGGGAATTGCACGTTCGCCACTCAGTGCATAATATGTATCTACTTGCATTGGTGTGTGTTGCTTTGTAAATGTTAGTATATACAAAAAAATAGTATTTACGAAAGTTTATTCATATTCTAGAACTAATAGAAAACCACACAACATTTTTACAATCATAGATTTTTCTACTTTTACTGTGTTATTTTTTTTTAAGTATTTTCAATACCAATACATGCCGGGTTAACTTACATTCTCTTTCTCTGTCTCGCAAAACTTGTGTCACTATAGAAGCAATGAATGCTAACAGCACTGCTTAATTTATCAATGTTTGTAACCTTCAACTAGAAAAGTAAAAATCCCCGTCAATTTATTAGGTACAATATATATTTTACTGTGTTCTGTACTTTCCCGATCTTTCGTCTCATCATCGTCAACAGCATTTAACAGTCCACTGCTGGACATAGGCTTCTCCTTGGAAGGAAGGTTTTGGCCTACTATACCACGCTGGCCAGACGGGTTGGTATAGGGTTTGTGTCATGTTTTCCTTCTCTTTGCAATGTTGAAGTTCTGCATAGTTTGCTCCCTTAGTCGGTTCATACGACACCCACGGGATGAATAGGGGTGTTGAAAGTACGTGTTCTTAATCCGTCACCACACGGACGCAATGTTACACATTGCATAAATCTATACAAATAAATAAAATTGGAGTGTCTGTTTGTAATATTTAAATAACCGCTTTGTACTAAATGCATATGTATTTTTACACGGTACATATGCCAAAATAACATTTTTTACAATTTTTGTCTGTCTGTCTGTCTGTTCCATGTAATCTCTGAAACGGCTGGACCGATTTCGACGGGACTTTCACTGGCATATAGCTGATGGCATAAGGAGTAACTTAGGCTACTTTTTTAGACTAGCTTCGCCCGCAGTTATAACAACAAACGCGGGTAACACCGCGGGTCTCAGCTAGTTCCTTATAAATTTGGAAAAATATCCGGAAAATAATAATTTAATTTTAATGTTTCAGATGTAGACCTATTGGTAGTGTATCACTGTTGCGACAAGAGCCAGGAGGTGTCCAAACAAGTACTGGACTTGCACTTCACACTCAGGACGATGTTCACCCAATTTTTCAAAGACAGATGTTTTGACAAAAAAGCTGAGTTTACTCTTAATACAGTGTAAGTACTTTTATATTGGTGTACTGTATTTATAAAAGACTAGCTGGTGCCCTCGCCTTCGTTCGCATGTAATTTGAAAAGCGCTGCCTTAGTGAGTTCGATTCCCGGACCAGGCAAAATTTTGTAGGGTTTTTCTGAGAGAAAAAATAGCTTAAGTTAGTTCTTATATAGACAGCTACTTGGTAGTAAAATATTATGAAAATCGGTTCAGCCGTTTTGAAAATTACCCGGAAGAAACAGACAGACAGAGTAAAAATATAGGTATCGTGCAAAATAACCGTGTAAGCATGAAAAAAACCTATTACTTTACATCACAGACGGACACTTCATTTTATTTATTTGTATAGATTAACCGTTTTATTTAAGTGTTTATTTCGAGGACGGAAAATACAGGAAAACCCTTGAACTTTTCTGCAAATGAATACTACACATGAAATATTTATCCAATTTATTTTTTATCTATCTATTAAAAAAACTATTATTTTCTTAATAAGCCTACTTTCTAGATATACCTTTATCACTAGGGAACCACCCCGGCTTCGCACGGGTACAATGTAGATACTAATGTAGTAATTAATTGTATTATTATTATTTGACCATACTAAACGATATCTTTATATTAGACAATATTTATAGGCACGATCCGTTGCCGCTACCACCCGGGTTGGACGTACGGCTCGGCGGCCGCTCTGCCCCCGCATTTTAAATCTCTGATGTTTTCCATACTTTAATACTTGTTAAAGAGCTTCTTCTATAACCCATTTTATTTTGTAATATATAATAGATGAAATGGTTACTGTGGGTTATCATTAGGAGATAAATGTATATACTTTCTTTTCTTCTAAAGGATAAAGCCCGCATTAGGAATATCAAGGAATTAGTGTAGACAGTTTATGAGTGTATAAGGTAAGCTCTATGATTTTGAAACTCACCTAGCAGTTAAACTGTTTCAGTTTATGTGCTCCACTTCCAACACCGACGTTGCAAGGACACAGAGCCGCATACTTCCGTCTCTTAGATCCCGATCCACGAAACTTCAACCTCACGGAGGTAGCAAGAGCAGCCATGATGGTTCTTGACCTGTGGCAGTACGAGGAGGGGACCTTCACTGGGTTTGTACCATATATACTGAACTTGGTTCGTGCCATGGCGGATTAAGAATACAAAGCGTCACTATCCCTATGCATGCAATGGGTGTCGTAAGAGCCGACTAAGGGAGCAAACTGCGCAGGACAACAGCGCTGCAAAGAGTTCGTCTGGCCAGCGTAGACTATTAAAGGCTGTTGATGATGATTGCCTCCATTCAAGAAGTATCACAAATTAAAATGCATTACTATTAATATTTAAACCATATTAATATTATAAACAGTAAAAGACATTAATAGTTCATTTTTAGTTATTAATAAAAGTGTAGTTAATAAATAGAGAGGTTAAAAAGTGACTTGCTTGTTAGTCTAGTGCAGGGATGCTCAAACTATTTTGGACAAGAGACCCTATTCTTAAATTAACTGATACCTCAGAACCCCATAGTGAAATGACTACACGCTTATCGACTTCTTGAGTTTAAAAAAAGTACAACAATGATACTTCCTACTAAATTATTAGTCATTTTTATCATCACATCACATCAACAGCCTTTAATAGTCCACTGCTGGACATAGGCCTCTCCTTAGAAAGAAGGTTTTGGCCTACTATACCACGCTGGCCAGACGGGTTGGTATAGGGTTTGTGTCAAGTTTGCCTTCTTTTTGCAGTGCTGGTGTCCTGCGTTGTTTTGCGCCCTTAGTCGGCTCTTACGACACCCACGGGATAAATTGGGGTAGTGACATTCCGTATTCTTAATCCGTCACTACCCGGACCGTCATTTTTATAACAACACGTAATACACTAACACAGTATCTTGAAAGTTTCAAATAAGAACTTGTGTTAATTAATAGGGGTTTGATTGTTAGACGTCGTTGACCTCCAAAATCAATTTTCTTTTATGTAGACCCCTAGGAAACCGATATTCACTTTGGGAATTCCTGGTCTAGTGGTTACCTATCCCGATTGCTAAGTCAGAGGTCGTGGGTTTAATTGCCACTCTGAAAAGAAAATGTGTGATGAGTACGATCATTTGTTCTGTGCCTCGATTTCATGTATCTATAATATATATATATCTATCTATAATATGTATCTATCTTTGACTGCACGGATGGCGTAGTGGTTTAAGCGGTCGCCACGCCGCTTCCTACCACGCCGAGTGTTGTGGGTTCAAACCCCACATGGGACGACACTTTGTGTGATCCACAAATTGTTGTTCTGAGTCTGGGTGTTCTTTGTGTCCTTTTCATGTATGTTTGTCCCCCGCGACACAGGATTTATTCCTAAAAAAAATTTGTATGTATTTAGAAGTATATAATTATGTTTATTCAGAAATATATCTGCAAACTTAGCGGCAGTAGTCCTGCCACTTTTTACGTAAGTGGAATTAAAATCATCGTCGTCAGAATGTGAGTATTTAATACACAGAGGTGTACGGTTATAAAGACGTGAAACATTGGAAGTTTTTTAGTTCGGTGGACTAAGGAAACGTTTTTTTTTCAGTTAAATTAAGTTAATTATATCATTTTCAGATTTGTAATCATCATAGACATGGACCAATCAGTGTTGAGCCACGTCACCAGATTAGACCTTATGATTGTGAAAAAAGTTCTTTACTTTTTACAGGTTAGTGTGGCATTAGATCTATATTAGGTATTGGAATTCCAGTTATATTACTACATATTCGCTGGCACTGTTCGCTTTTCTTCCTTTTTGTTTATTTACTATATTGCAAAAAGAGATTCGTCTCATAGAAAGTACTAGAAAATCTCGCAACTCACAGCTAACTCATAAGCGCTCTGGTAATTTCTAGAACATTCTGGAATATTCGAAGTTTCGTTTATTGCCATATAATATCTTAAATTGTGTCGACCTTAACAATTGCATGAAAGAAGAAATAACAATAAAGTACGTGACGAAGTACGTGAGACTATACATTTCTATGTACCGGACCAATGCACGAGAGGCATTGGTGACAGCATAGACTTCTCTGCTATCCGCGCGCGTAGCGTTCTCCACACGCTGATAACGGCCCCACGTCCAAAGCCGTCAGACTATTAAACTGTTTGCTAGAAGCCAATCCAGAGGCAGATATATTTTTTACAATCCTAACGTAACGTATAACAATATATGGTTACTCTACCTAAATAATATGCTAAGGTAAGGTACAGTTATAGGTAATTAAGTTACATCTAAGTGTTTGTTTTCTTTTTTTTATGGTATAAGGGGCAAACGAGCAGACGGGTCACTTGATGGTAAGTAACTACCGTCGCCCTTGGACACCTGCAACTCAAATCACAAGTGCGTTGCCGCCCTTGGAGTCCCACTCGTTAGAGTCAACGGGAGGGGGAGATTTGGGCTCCGCAAACCTCACTCACTTGGCCGTGGTATCACTCCGGTGGAGCCGGCCCATTCGTGCCGAAGCATGGCTCTCCCACGGTAGCATATTAAAAGATCGCGTTATAAAATTGATGTGTTTGTAATTTTTTATTGTAATTTGTAATGTTTTATTGTGTATGTTAAAATTTTACTATCGTTCATTTTATGTCTTTGTTTATTTTATTTTGAATGTGTAGTATAGATATAAGCGATTTGGGTGTAAGTACTGTAAGCTTATATTTCATGAATAAATGAATATGAATAATGAATAAAGTATCCTAGATATTTCTACCAACTCCATTGTATATTACTGGAACGAAGTTTTAAGATAAATAAATATTGCATTTGTCTTGAGCACGATGGGATAAAAATTGGGAAAAAAACCTTTGCTTAAAGCAATCAGCTTGTAATTCTGGTGGTTGAGGAATACCAAACCTCTCTTTCATGTTTATACACACTTACCTTTGTTAATCTTCCAGGAGTGCATGTTCACAAAAATTGCTGGTATTCATTTCATGAATGCCCCAAACTTCGTGGAAAAATTGATGATGCTGCTGAAACCATTTCTGACAAAAAAACTGATAGACATGATCCATATTCATCAAACGGGATCAACCACACTCTACAACACGATACCCAAGGATGCCCTTCCGAAAGAAGAAGGTGGAAAATATAAAGACCACGTAACTTTAAGAGGTAAGATAGCTGAAGGACTGAATACCTATTGGACAAAAACACTATTTATGCTTTATTTCTTATATATTGGTCCGTGTGGTGACGAATTAAGAATACGGAATGTCACCACCCCTATTCATCCCGTGGGCGTCGAAAGAGCCGACTAAGGGAGTAAACTACGCGGGACAACAGCACTGCAAAGAGAAGAAAAACTTGACACAAACCGTCCAAACCGTCTGGCAAACGTGGTATAGTAGGCCAAAACCTCCTTTCTAAGTAGAAGCCTATGTCCATCAGTGGACTATTATAGGCTGCTGATGATGCGTGTGATCTTGGTCTAGTAAGTATAAGAAGACGATATAGCTTAGAAAAATTTAATGAATAACGACTATCAGCACCACAGCAATAATTCATTCATTAAATTTGGCAACCCAATAGGTAAAATAGTAATTGAGCCATTTACCGATTACTTTGGCATGTTGTTAATATTTCATCCTCACTGTTTCCTTCTATTTACTAGAAAACATTGATTACAATTTTTACAATAATTGATTTTAATTTTCTACAGGGAAACCTGTTAAGTTTTTTGAGTTTAGTCAACGCCAAGTTTTTTTAGATTAAATTTGAAATGTTGTCTATTGAGATAACATTTCAACGTTTAATCAAAAAACTTGTTACCTAAACCTTGTGACAGGTCGGAATTATCCAGGAATTCATTGTGTAATTACTCGAGAATTTTATTGATTTCTATATCCTGGTGATTTTTTCAATCTAAGAATATACAGACTTGAGAAGGTACTTGGTGGTTTGAGGGTTGACCCCGGCTTTTTCTAGCTACTGCAGTCTTAGTCCAGTTTTTCATCTGAAGCTTGCGGGATCTCTTTATCTCGAAATACCTTTTCGTCTGAAAATAGTTACATTTCCAATGAGAGTTCGTGTTGAGCAAGCCGTAGTCAGTTAAAGAAACAAACCAAATGCTTTCACAATCACTGCACGACCCCAAAACAATATTAAAAAAGGGAAAGATGATGCTGGTGATGATTTATAATAAATAAAACTATTTTTTCCAAAAGACGAGGTCATTCAGCGCCTCCAGGCCAATTCAGCCTTCATTAAGACAGACAACAAGCGTCGTGTCAACGAGTCTCTTCGGCCAGGACCTTGTCCTGTGGCGGAAGAGTTTGGGATGCAGGGGAGCTTCAAGACGTTGGATATTGATTAAGTGCGGGTGCAAGGGGTGCAGGATTTACAACAGGGAATAAATATACTATTTATAAAATAGTCTTATGTATTTTTATTTTCAACCTATAACACGAAAAAGATGTGTGTACGTATATGGCTATTAGATACATCAAAATAAATAAACATTTTGGACAACGGACACACGCAGCAGAGATTAAGCAGAGATTGTTCTATGAAAGCTGGATTGACTGATACAATACTTATATACTTTTTTTTTTGTAAATACATACATATTATACAAAGAAAGCACCCAAACTCCGAAACAATATTTGCAGATCATACTAACACTAGGTCCGACCCGGAAATCGAAGAGACTAAAAGGGAAGGACAGATTTTGAGTTTTTTTTTTGTTTTTTTTTTAAAGATAGTAAGATAATTACATAAAAGTTGTTGCACTGTTCAACGATCATTAGATTAGATTTATTTAGTTAGAATTAACTAAATATTATTATAAATTATTAAATATTAATTTTATTAGATTTTAGCAATGCTATTTTATTAAACAACAAGTTTTTGACTATTCTTCTTTTCAAAAAATATCCTCACAAAACGTTAAATACTGTTAAAGTTAATAATTACTTTATTTTATCATTTAAATCCCGACCTTATGCCTAAACTATGTAGGTACTTTATATATAATATCATTTATGAAATCACTAAGCACGTTATATTAACGGCTTCGTAGCTGCGGGATGCATACAATACAGCCTTGTAGAATAGATCTCGAATTAAGATATTAGAATACAACAATAATACAATAATACAAGCAGACTTTGGTCATAAAAAGGTACTTGGTAGGTTGTTTTAATAAATAACGAATTAAATAAATATCTTTTTGTTTATGGAATAAGGGGACAAACGAGCAGACGGGTCAGCTGATGGTAAGCAACTACCACTGCCCATGGACACCTGCAACTCAAAAGTCACAAGTGCGTTGCTGTCCTTGAAGTTCCTCCCGCTCGAGTCAGCGGGAGGGGGATTTGGGCTCCGGTAACCTCACTCACTCAGTGAAAGGCAATGAAAGAATAGCTTAACACCGGTTTTCTGTGAGGCCGTGGTATCACTCCGGTCCGGTCTCCGGTGTGTGTGGTAGTATCATTATCACTTATTGTATATGTATTACTAGCTGACCCGCGCAACTTCGTATGCGTCTCTCAATAGTAATAAGTTTTCTCCGTTTTTGAAACATTCTTCATTGGTGCTCCGCTCCTATTAGTCTTAGCGTGATGGTATATAGTCTATAGCCTTCCTCGATAAATGGGCTATCTAACACTGAAAGAATTTTTCAAATCGGACCAGTAGTTCCTGAGATTAGCGCGTTCAAACGAACAAACTCTTCAGCTTTATAATATTAGTATAAATTAAGTAATGATAATTCTAATGTAATGATATCCTATTATGCTATATTTTTCATAAAATCACATTTTAAATTTCTGTGCATCTACCTTTTTTTATCTCTGTATCGCCCTAAGGTTGACTGGGAGAAAATGCCTACGGCATTAAGTCCGCTTTTGTCACGTTTGTGCATAAAGTATAAATAAATAAATAGAGAATTAAGTCTTTACCATTACAAGCCTTTAATAGTCCACTGCTGGACATGGGCCTCTCCTTAGAAAGGAGGTTTTGGCCTACTATACCGCGCTGGCCAGACGGGTTAGTATAGGGAAATAAATAAATAAATATTATTGTAATAGACAAATGTCTGGTTATTTTATTTCCAACACAGATAAAGCCACGGCTAGGGATTTATTTGCAAGAAATAAACAACAGGAAAGATTAAATTTTAAACTATCGCGTTTCGTAACAGATTTATAATTGAATTTAATTTTTCAAGGGTACTCAAGGTGTACTCAATACCTATCTTGAGCGTGTTAATTCCCACAAACATGATTACATAAGAAAGATTAAATTGTTAAATCAGTGCATTTAATATGAATAGAAAATCTATCTTCTCAACAACTCACACACGTGTAAATAAAAAACGTACCGATATATTGCTCTAATAGGAGATAACTAAATGACTGGGCTGATAGGCGGGGGAAGCCGCAGCTTCGGGCCTTACTAGTCGATCCGTGGGGACCTGAAATGCCATGGCCCGGTTCTGCCTCGGTGTAGAGCGCCTAAGTCCGTTGTCAGGGTGGTTTTTAGTAGAAACACCACATACTCCTGGCTCCTGGGTTCCCAAGAAGCCGAAGTACCGAAAAGATTTTACACCCTATCAACACAAAAAAAAACACTTCTAAATCACAATTAATATACTATATATTTTTATACTTATCTTGGACTTGTCCCCCAATCCAAAACAACGGCAGCGTCGCGTGTAAAACTTTTTGAACTAAAATTTTTCACTTTCATTAAAGCCAAACGCTGGAATGCACAGTTTGCGTCTATTTTTCCAAACGATTGTATTCCTGGAATGTTAAAAGTGGAGTAAATAGTTGTCACTTTGATTTGTACGTAGGTTAGGTTAATTACACATCATAGTCTACCAATTGTTGTGCAGCTACTTACGTACTTATTATATAAATATTATATATAATGGTTCATGATTCAACATTCATTTCATTTTTCGTCCACATTATTTAGATCGATACTTAGCCACAATTACACATCATAATAATTTAGGCAACAATGATTTTGCATAAAAATATCTGATCGTTAAACATAACAATAGTTATTAAATTCTAAAGCGGATGCAGGAGTTATCACCTTTCAATGGATAATTTCCTTGTTTATTTTGTATATAACGCGAGGTGACTGTATTGTTGTTACTAAAACCCTTCGCTACCTTTGAACAACCATGAAAGCTTTTGGTATTATTTTATTCGTAATGGCGATGATCGCTTCTGCTCTGGTAAGTAATTCTTAATTTGTTTATTTATTGATGAAAAATTGCCAATAATTTCCATTATATCAAATTCTTGAGCCAAACACAGAGTTTTACGTTTCGATCGTTTCACTAAATATTGAAATAGAAAACGATGAGCAGCACTTGAATTTATAATAATGATAAATGGTTACAAAATAAAAAAAAAACATAAAACAGTATGTTTTCGATATGATGATTGGTAAATATCTGTATGTTATCGAAGTTTTTGGAGAATGACGTTGACGTTTCCAGGACTCAATTATGTATAAATACGCATTGTGAAATCGGTCCTAACATAGATCCTTGGGGAACACCGGAAGGGACACAAGCACCGATCTAAACCCACCCATAACACAACCACAGACTCAGAATAAAAATAAAAAATTTTAAATCCCTTTGGTTTTTAAAAATTTGGAAAAATTAAGGGGACAAACGAGCAGACGGGTCAGCTGATGGTAAGCAACTACCACTGCCCATGGACACCTGCAACTCAAAAGTCACAAGTGCGTTGCTGTCCTTGAAGTTCCTCCCGCTCGAGTCAGCGGGAGGGGGATTTGGGCTCCGGTAACCTCACTCACTCAGTGAAAGGCAATGAAAGAATAGCTTAACACCGGTTTTCTGTGAGGCCGTGGTATCACTCCGGTCCGGTCTCCGGTGTGTGTGGTAGTATCATTATCACTTATTGTATATGTATTACTAGCTGACCCGCGCAACTTCGTATGCGTCTCTCAATAGTAATAAGTTTTCTCCGTTTTTGAAACATTCTTCATTGGTGCTCCGCTCCTATTAGTCTTAGCGTGATGGTATATAGTCTATAGCCTTCCTCGATAAATGGGCTATCTAACACTGAAAGAATTTTTCAAATCGGACCAGTAGTTCCTGAGATTAGCGCGTTCAAACGAACAAACTCTTCAGCTTTATAATATTAGTATAAATTAAGTAATGATAATTCTAATGTAATGATATCCTATTATGCTATATTTTTCATAAAATCACATTTTAAATTTCTGTGCATCTACCTTTTTTTATCTCTGTATCGCCCTAAGGTTGACTGGGAGAAAATGCCTACGGCATTAAGTCCGCTTTTGTCACGTTTGTGCATAAAGTATAAATAAATAAATAGAGAATTAAGTCTTTACCATTACAAGCCTTTAATAGTCCACTGCTGGACATGGGCCTCTCCTTAGAAAGGAGGTTTTGGCCTACTATACCGCGCTGGCCAGACGGGTTAGTATAGGGAAATAAATAAATAAATATTATTGTAATAGACAAATGTCTGGTTATTTTATTTCCAACACAGATAAAGCCACGGCTAGGGATTTATTTGCAAGAAATAAACAACAGGAAAGATTAAATTTTAAACTATCGCGTTTCATAACAGATTTATAATTTAATTTAATTTTTCAAGGGTACTCAAGGTGTACTCAATACCTATCTTGAGCGTGTTAATTCCCACAAACATGATTACATAAGAAAGATTAAATTGTTAAATCAGTGCATTTAATATGATTAGAAAATCTATCTTCTCAACAACTTACACACGTGTAAATAAAAAACGTACCGATATATTGCTCTAATAGGAGATAACTAAATGACTGGGCTGATAGGCTGAGAAGCCGCAGCTTCGGGCCTTACTAGTCGATCCGAGGGGACCTGAAATGCCATGGCCCGGGTCTGCCCCGGTGTAGAGCGCCTAAGTCCGCTGTCAGAGTGGTTTTTAGTAGAAACACCACATACTCCTGGCTCCTGGGTTCCCAAGGAGCCGAAGTACCGAAAAGATTTTACACCCTATCAACACAAAAAAAACACTTCTAAATCACAATTAATATACTATATATTTTTATACTTATTTTGGACTTGTCCCCCAGTCCAAAACAACGGCAGCGTCGCGTGTAAAACTTTTTGAACTAAAATTTTACACTTTCATTAAAGCCAAACGGAATGCACAGTTTGCGTCTATTTTTCCAAACGATTGTATTCCTGGAATGTTAAAAGTGGAGTAAATAGTTGTCACTTTGATTTGTACGTAGGTTAGGTTAATTACACTTCATAGTCTACCAATTGTTGTGCAGCGACTTACGTACTTATTATATAAACATTATATATAATGGTTCATGATTCAACATTCATTTCATTTTTCAGTCCACATTATTTGGATCGATACTTAGCCACAATTACACATCATAATAATTTAGGCAACAATGATTTTGCATAAAAAAATCTGATCGTTAAACATAACAATAGTTATTAAATTCTAAAGCGGATGCAGGAGTTATCACCTTTCAATAGTTAATTTCCTTGTTTATTTTGTATATAACGCGAGGTGACGGTATTGTTGTTACTAAAACCCTTCGCTAGCTTTGAAAAACCATGAAAGCTTTTGGTGTTATTTTATTCGTAATGGCGATGATCGCTTCTGCTCTGGTAAGTAATTCTTAATTTGTTTATTTATTGATGAAAAATTGCCAATAATTTCCATTATATCAAATTCTTGAGCCAAACACAGAGTTTTACGTTTCGATCGTTTCACTAAATATTGAAATAGAAAACGATGAGCAGCACTTGAATTTATAATAATGATAAATGGTTACAAAATAAAAAAAAAAACATAAAACAGTATGTTTTCGATATGATGATTGGTAAATATCTGTATGTTATCGAAGTTTTTGGAGAATGACGTTGACGTTTCCAGGACTCAATTATGTATAAATACGCATTGTGAAATCGGTCCTAACATAGATCCTTGGGGAACACCGGAAGGGACACAAGCACCGATCTAAACCCACCCATAACACAACCACAGACTCAGGGCGGGTAGATAAATATCATGTGACCCATTTGAGTGAATAATAAAAAATATATTACTATGTAATTTTGACATTTTTTACTAACAGAATGCTCAATAGCTTTTAGCACGATTTAAAATCGCTAAGCTTGGCCAGTAACTTAACACTACGAAATACTGCAATGAGATGGTATTACTAGTAGTGCAGAGTTATCACTGTCAATTGCTATTGCTATTTGATCAACAAGAAACTACAATTGGTGATCAGGGTTAGGCAGAGTGAATTTTACTTCAACTCAGTTTTTATTAAGTATTCCATCAATTTTTCAAATAATAAATAAAATCTACAAAACAATAATAATTTCTTTATTTTTTTATGCTTTAGGAAATCAAAGGCCTTATTAAAATCCAAACGTTAATACTTGTTTTACGTGTCTCATCTGTATTTTATACCGTGTTTGATAATTTTAGAGCGGTTTGAGTCCTGGGCCTCAGCCAGCCGGGTGTCGTGGTGGTGGTGGAGGGCCTGGTGGCCCACCACCACCACCTCCGCCTGCTGATGCAGCTACGACTACTACTGCTGCTAGTAAGTAATTACATACCTACACAAATATGGAAATACATAAACTCTATCTTCTGTTTGGGTAAGTAGGGATAACAGCTTGCCAGGTTATGTTCTGAGATGATTGAACAAGGCGCAATTGGGCCGCCACAACGTAATTAAGAGGGGGGAAATGTTTTCCCCTGGGATAGGGCTCTATCAATTCGTTGAAGATCTGAAATAACATGGGCCGGGTCCTCTCAGAGTGGGGCACCTGAAGCCGGCCGTCGGGTGGTTTTTAGTGCAATCACGACATACTTCTGGCTCGTAAGTCCCCGAGGGATTTTCCATCCTGTCTACAAAAAAAAAGGGTGAGGAGCATCTGGCACGTGAATAACTAGTCTACTAATCGTCATCTTAAAGTTATTTTCAGAATCAAAATGAAATTAGAGTTTACTTGTGTGCTTGCGACTGTATGCCACTGTTGTTCCTATCATGAACATAATAATACTCATAATTAAGAAATACTTTGACTATTAACGATTCATTTGTTTCAGCCACTGCCGCCGGTTAGGTGACAGGTAAAGGAAACATTACAGACAACCACAATGGAACCTTGAAATAACAATAAATATGCATATAAAATAAATGTATCTTTTATTTCTTAATTCTTAATCTGTCTAATTACGTAATCAAAACCTGATTTACCTGACAGTAAGCGATTTAGTAAGCGCTCTAGGGACAATCACAACGACGGTCTGTGCTCCCATTAGATCCTGGCAAATTAATAATGTTGTAACTAATAAGTAATTTGATAAATGGTGAGTCTATTTGCAATTCAGTGAATGTCACTTTGAACCCCTTGAGGAAAGAACTTTCCCGATGTGAAATCTTTCCTACAAAACAAAAGCATTTAACTAACTTAGAGCAGGTAACTAGAATGTAGTATGTTCTTTTTCAATTATATTTCAAAAAAGTAATAATTTCAAAAACAAATTACTTATTACCCCGCCAAAAAATACCTACAAAGGAAAAATATGTAACTAATACCAGTGATACTTAAGATTAGATTAAGAGAGGAGGATTTGAAAGGTAATTAAAATTTTAACTTGATTTCAAAATGATTTGTTAGCCCTTGGTAAACCATAAGTTCTGTTCTAATTGTTTAAGGTTTCTTAAATTTTTAAGTCACAATTATTTAATTTAAATTTTTAAGTAAAGTCTTTATGAAATTCAACAATACTGCATTCGGTACCATTACCATACCTGGCACCGTTTACTCCTCTAAGTAATAGCCTAGTAGAAAATATATTTTTTTTGTTTGAGAAACAACTCCCGCACTAGGAATAAATCCTGTGTCGCAGTCGACTTTACAAACACACAAATGACATCCAGACTCAGAACAACAATTTGTGGATCACACAAAGTGTTGTCCCATGTGGGGATCGAACCTACAATACTCAGCGCAGTAGGGAGCGGCGAGGTGACCGCTTAAACCACTACGCCATCTGTGCAGTCAAAATTATAATTGATGATGAATATGTACCAAAAAATTTGAGTTTCCTACACTCTGGAATGTTCTCTAGGGAAATCTTCAACACAATTGACATAAACATTAAGTGCGCACTAACACTCACGCTCTTATTATATCTACATATTTATTTACACACACTGAATGAATTATTTTTAAACATTTATAAAGGTTTGACCTGAGCAGAGCGGAGCGGATGTCATAAATCAAAGATGTAATTTTACTTCATAATCCAGGTTGCAAATAAACATTGCTAGCGTATTAAGACGTATTATATTAATAAAAAGCCACACATAAAACAGTTGTCTAGATCAGATTTATTTTAAATTCATAATAATTTGTACAGTTTGAGAGAGCTAATACTAGAATAGAGGAACTCTTTCCAACTGTTCTATAAGAATTGTGTTCTGTTTTCGTTCCGTCTTAATACTATGTTAGATACTGAAGTTATTCTTTTTTGGATAGGATCACCTAAATTCTTAAAGAGAGGAATTGAATTGTAAGGCACATCACAAACTGATGTTAGATTTTTTTATAGTCATCGACTTATCATAAAGTTATTTGCCAAATTAAGTTCAAAAATATCTGGATATAAATAAAAACCTGGAAGGTTAAAAAAAATCATTTTAGTCCTACGATTTTCAAAATATATTTTGGATTTGACGTAATTTGTGACGTCGTTTTCAAATTCCGTTCCGTTAGGAAGCCCACGATTGTTAGGACATTAACTTCACACATCACATTACATCAACAGCCTTTAATAGTCCACTGCTGAACATTAACTTAGTAAGCTTTAACAAAACTATATTGTATTCTTACAAATGCAGTATTAAATAACGATATGTACTTCAAATGTAAGTCGCTGGAACACAATTAATGAACCTTTTGTGTTCTTTTACGGCCTCGCTTCGCACAAATGAAGTCTTACCTTTAGAAATACTATCCAATGGTCCCTATACCACAATTGGTTCCCATAAGTGAAATAATATAATCAATTTTACGCATTAAATCATTCATAGACGTGAAAAAATTGTGTTGGCACGTTTGAATTTACAAGATGAAGATACATATTGTTCGAGTCCTCTTGGTCTTTATAATTGGTGTCGTTGGTGTCGTGGTTGGTATTTTAACTATTCAAAATGGAGTGACAGAAGGATTATAAGGAAGTGTGGAAGAAAGGACGAGTGGTATTACTTAGTGTCATAAATCTAGGCTAGATATGCGCTCAGGAAACTATTGATTGTGGTGTGTGCTCTGAAAGTAACAATGGCGAGGGATGCGTAATCCATCTACAGGAAAGATACAATTTTTGTTATCTGTAACTGAGTCTATAGAAATTACTTTAAGTCAAAATTACATAATAATAATAAACAAATAAAAGTAAAGATAACTTTTTACCGTGAGAGAGTCATGCTTCGGCACGAATGGGACTGGCTCGACTGGAGTGATACCACGGCCTCACAGAAAAGCGGTGTTAAGCAATTCTTTCGTTGCTTTTCACTGAGTGAGTTAGGTTACCGGAGCCCAAATCCCCCCTTCCGCTGACTCGAGCGGGAGGGACTCCAAGGACTTTTGAGTTGCAGGTGTCCATGGGCGCCGGTAGTTGCTTACCATCAGGTGACCTGCCTGCTCGTTTGCCCCTTATACCATAAAAAAAATTGGCCGTATAATACTAATAAATTATATTTTTCTAGATTATTCTAGCGGATTTATTTGTATGAATTAGAATTTTATCAATTTTAATTTTATTAGTTGTCTCGCTCATGAGTAATATTATTCTAAGTCATTTTCTGTAATTCTGACAGTATGATGTGAAATGAAATTTTGCACTTATTTAATGTTAATCGGTTGAGTCAAAAAGGCGTGAAAACGTAACAAACAAATAAACGTCCACTTCTACAAAATGATTTAGAAAGGCAAAAGCAGAAGTTAAAGATAGAGAAATGTTTACCACATCTCTTTTAAGGAATACCGGCAAAGAAGCAGACGAATTACTTGATCACACTCATCTGTGATTTATAAATTATAAAATTACACCTCCGACTAATGTACACAAACATTGCGTCTTATTATTATGCTAGTGCCAGACTCGAAAAGTCTAAATTTAAACAATAAAAGGTCATCATCTTTGATAACAGAATGTTGATTGATTTTGACGACATTGACTATGATCGAAACACACTCACAGGTAAAATCAGACTGACTTAAACCAATCATTTCATCATATGATTATGATTAAAAAATCAATAATTTCCATATCTACAGTACAACTCAAGTGTAAGGGAAGTGGCTTGGTTTGGTCTCATGAAACCTCATTTGCATCATTCGACATGGCTTAATATATATATAATATGTCTTTATTCAGTGTGAGCCACACGATATCAACTTTATTATTAAGAAACTAATATCGATTCAATCTCTTTCCAGAAAAGCAGAGGAATAAGAGTGGATGTCAGGACGAGTCCTTTCCCACCTCTAAGAGACCCATGCCCCTTCGGTGCAGATCGTATACGAGTAATATTTATTTTCATATATGTGTTCTATTCATATATGTGTTATATTCATATATGTGGTATACTCATATATGTGTTGTATTCATATATGTGTTATATTAATATATGTGTTCTCTTCATATATGAGTTATATTCATACATGTTAATACTAAACCTGAAGTGTGTAACCTGTTTTTAATATTAATAAATCTACTATGGATGACAATAATAACAAATTTTAGTTACGTAGCAGCTAGATGATTAATTGCTATGTTTGAAAACCAAAAACATACTGTTTTTAGAGTTCCATACTTCAAAAGGAAAAAACAGAACCCTTATAGGATCACTTCGTTATCCGTCTGCCTGTCTGTCAAGACCCTTGATCTCGGGAACGCGTGAAGTTATCCAGTTGCAATTAAAACCATTTTTTCAGCTCTATAACATCTTGCCGTCAAATTTCTAAGTTAATGTAAAAAAAGATGCGGCCGTTCATACCGCAAAAAACGCAAATTACGACACTTTAGAGGGAATCAAAATTTATAGGGTGCTTCCCGTTGACTTGGAACTATGAAATTTGGCATGTAACATTGTGTTATACAGGGAAAAAACTGAAAACTATTCATTTGTAATTAAGTCATAAAAAATATAGTTTTTATTTAAAGTATGTAATCAATCATCTCGGTACAATTACACTTATAAAACACAATTATATAATTGGTAATTATAGGTTTTGGAAACTGCGAAATTCGATTCCTGAATTATTTATAAAATATACCTACAAATTTTCTACGGAATCTTCGGTGGGCGAGTCCGACTCGCACTTGTCCGGTTTTAACAGAATCATGTTTCTCTTATATTTACTCTTTTGCACAGTCGATCCTTATTATCTGTCTTTTAATAACTGTCAGACGATATTTGAGCCTCAGTAAGCTCGTGTGTGAGACTCGCCACCCACGACAGGCAATATTTACAAGATTAGGTTTAAAAATTCACTGCAACAGGTCCTACTCATCAACAGCCTTTAATAGTCCACTGCTGGAAATAGGCCTCTCCTTAGAAAGGAGGTTTTGGCCTACTATACCACGCTGGCCAGACGGGTTGGTATAGGGTTTGTGTCGAGTTTTCCTTCTCTCTGCAGTGCTGTTGTCCTGCGTAGTTTGTTCCCTTGGTCGGCTCTTACGACACCCACAGGTCCTAATCAATAAAAATTATTTGAGTTTATGTTTTTGCCTAACGCTGAAATTACAACTACGTCACATAAGGTTCTTTTTTCTTTAACAATTTCACATCTAAGTTAATCAGTGAACTCCTAAAATGTGTTCCTATCGTTGTTTAATAATCATTAATCATTATCGTTGCTAATAATGTACCTGTGAATTTCTATATTTCAGATACCATCGGCACTCGGATGCAAGCTACGCATGCTCTTAACACATGCATTCGGTCGATTGATTTTATGATACCAATAAATATTTTTTTTTAATCTGGTGTATCTTACTAAATGCAACCTTATTTTTCATAAAAATTGACTGCAGTTCTTAATCCTATTTTGAGCTCCACCACTCTTGTTCAGATTAAGAACAAGCCGTTAGAACTTACACAGATACACGCCTATATCACCTAAAGGGAAGGCCGTTGAAGCATATTTAATGCCCACATTTTGCCAACTATTATTCTCATTTATATAATCAACATCATCAACAGTCCACTGCTAGAAACAGGGTTCTCCGTAGAAAAGAAATTATGGCCTACTTGGTCGGACGGGTTAGTATAGGGTTTGTTTCAAGTTTTCCTTCTTTTTGCAGTACTGATGTCCTGAGATTGCTCCCTTACTCAGCTTTTACGACACCCACGGGGTGAATAGGGGTGTTGACACTCCGTATTCTTAACCCGTCACCACACGGTGACACACACCACATATGTATTTAATAGGGGGCATAAAAATAAAAGCGTTGTAATTTAAGGTAGATAAGAAGAGAAGGCAATGTTGGGAAAGGGATAAAACTTAGGTGAATACGAATAGATTGGGAAATGTACGTAAAGAATAGCTTGAGCAAGCCAGAGTCACATACTTTTTTTTGTTAACGGGGTGTATGATCCTTATGAATGTCGAAGGGGTCTGACGGATTTTTAGCGACTAAAACACCACCTCGGTGTTCCTCTCCTTGCCTATGGCCAGGGGAGCCAGAATCGCAATTGTATTCTTTCAGCACCCACGACAGCCATGGCCCGCCTCACCAAGATGATTCTCGTGATCCGTCACCGCAGTCCTTTAGAAGCGCACACGGATCACTGAGCTGCCTCTCAGGACTGTGTGTATTCCTAAAATCATCGCCCACGGGCCAATAGTTACATCATCATCAGCCTATCGCAGTCCACTGCTGGACATAAGCCTCTTCCATTGCACGCCACTTAGAACGATTTTGGGCTTCTCGCATCTAGCTCCTACCAGTCATCTTGCGCAAATCGGCACTCCACCTGGCCTGTGGGCGTCCTACACTACGTTTGGCGAAAAGCGGTCTCCAATCCAGAACTCGTTTTCCCCAACGGTTGTCGGTTCATATCTGTACCTAATTTGAATTGGCTTTTATCAGGAAGTCAGAGCCCTTTAACCCGTTAAAGATTATCAGTTTGTGTTTTTAAATGAAAATTTTCAGTGTTGTAAATATGTCAACACGCTTCCGCTAAACCGGTAGACATAACCTTAAAATATTAATAATTAGTACAAATTTTATTAAAAAACTTAGTTCTGCCGTTTATTTACTATAATTGATTCAAGGTTAGATATGTATTCTTTAGCTTCAATAGTAATTAACTGATGTTGTGATGAGTGCCGGATGTGCACAATTTTCACTATAGTATTGTGTTCATATAAAAGGTAGGCCGATCAACAAGGGAGGCATCAACTATCTGACTTGTGACAATGAAGATATTTGGAGTTTTGTTCGCCGTTGTGGCTATCGCTTTCGCTGCTGTGGTGAGCATTTTTTTATGAATTTTCAAACATTCATTGATAGGTAACATATATTTTTGTTTTAACGATTAATTCATTTCATCAATACAAAAGATTGAAAAGTTGCCTCGATAGATGGCGTTGACTCGAAAATTTGAATGGTTTCGTTACCTGCGTTAGGTAAGAAAAACGACGTTTAGACGTTAACGTTAGGTGAGAAACCAAATAAAAAACTGTGGCGCTTAACGGTGAAGCAGCTGTTTTAATCATTGAGCCATTCAATCACTTAAAATGTGGCGAAGTTCTCGTTAATTATAATCATAAGTCACGTTATAAAAAATAATGTACAACAGAAACACACAAGCCTTATGCTAGTGTGTTTCTTTGTCAGACATGTTGTCGGGGACACATAAAATACACTATACCCTCTTAGTTACGTTACGTTGTTACATTACATTGTTACGTTACTTTGTTATGTTACGTTTTAATATAGTGATGCACCATAAAACAACTAATATAAACTAGCCAACATTATAGTCACAGCGATAGCAAAAACTAATTTAGTGGCCAATAATTTGACCCAATTTTTTAAACTTTCAAAGCTTACCTTACAAGTAGATAAATAGTATTGTTTCCTAGACACACCTGAAATGGAATCAAACGGAGCTGCTGGCAAAAGTTGGTTCATATAATATATTAAGGCGAGTTCATAATTATTTCAGAGCGGCATGAGTGTTAATCCCAAGCCTGCCGGGTGTAACGGTACACCGCCACCCGCTGCCCTACCAGCCAGTAAGTAGACTATACACTACGCAAGGATGTATACAGGTTCGATTCGACGGGCCTCTTGGTCTGGTGGTTAGTGAACCTGGTTGCTGAGCCAGAGGTTGTGGGTTGGATCATCATCATCATTATGGGTTGGATCCAGGATAAATACTTAGGTGATGAGCACGATCATTGGTTTTGTGTCTAGGTGTTATTTATCGATAATATTTATGTATTCTATTCGTTCCGTTTGTGTTGTAAGAGCCGACTACGGGAGCAAACAACGCAGGACAATAAAACTGAAAAGGGTTAGCGTGGTATAGTAGGCCCAAACCTCATTCCTGAAGAGAGGACTTTGTCCAGCAGTGTACTGTTGGAGGCTGTTTGATGATGGTAGTGGTGAATGAAATTCCTGCATTCAAGTTATATCAAGCTTTAATACGTTGTTGTTTCCTCGAATAGTGTCAAGTTTCCGTAGTGTAGCGGTTATCACGTGTGCTTCACACGCACAAGGTCTCCAGTTCGATCCCGGGCAAAAGCAGTTGAGCTTTTTTATGTGGTTATTTATTTTTCTTTTTTTCAAACTTAGTTCGTACATCATAAGAATAATGGTTCTTATATGACAACAGCAATCGTGTTAGCAATATTTTACAAAACTGAAAATATTTACAGTGCCGAGTCTGTACAGAACGTCTCTGTTTACTCATATTGCGGGAATGTATCAGAAGAAAATATATGCCCTCCATGATCGTACCTACCTTAAATGTGGTTAAACATGGCTCATGTTATAATGCAGCAGAACTCTTTAACAAACTTGCTGTGGAAATTAAAACACCGTCTCATAAGAATGAGATCTGGAATGAGTGTTGTGGGTTCAAACCCCACATGGGACAACACTTTGTGTGATCCACAAATTGTTGTTCTGAGTCTGGGTGTACTTTGTGTCCGTTTCATGTATGTTTGTAAAGTCCCCCGCGACACAGGATTTATTCCTAGTGCGGGAGTTGTCTTTTATAAAAGATTAAAAAAAAATGAGTATCAGGATAATATATACTCTTAAAGGAAAGATATATATTCTTAAAGGGGCAATTTTTTTTTTTTTTAATATTAATAGTATTATATAGTACGTATAAATTATATTTACATCAATATATTTGTCCGTGTAGTGACGGATTAAGAATACGGAATGTCACTACCCCAATTCATCCCGTGGGTTTCGTAGGTAAAACAACGCAGGACACCAGCACTGCAAAAAGAAGGAAAACTTGACACAAACCCTATACCAACCCGTCTGGCCAGCGTGGTATAGTAGGCCAAAACCTTCTTTCTAAGGAGAGGCCTATGTCCAGCAGTGGACTATTAAAGGCTGTTGATGTGATGTGTGTGACATCAATATATGTATACCCAGTATATCTATGTATGTAGTACAACATCTTGCAACCGACTACAATTTAAATTATTTATCTCATTATACACCTGCCACACAAATCTCTGCATCACCCCAAGGTTGACTGGGAGAAAATGCGTATGGCATTAAGTCCGCCTTATGCAATGTATTTGCAGGAAGTATAGATAGATAAATAATGTTTTTTTTTTATGAAATGCCCCTTTTAAAAAGAAAAGTACTCTTTCGAAATGTGCAAAGACTTCAGAAAGAGTAATACAAGAAATGTATTTTTCTAAAAATAAATGGTTGTTCTTTTTTCAGATGCCACTGGCTGAAAAATTTGCAGAAATGATGGAACTTCTCATTGACCATGGCAAACCACGTTCTTTAGCAAGATTATAAAAATAAATATAATATAAAATTTGTTGTTTTTTTTTGCTTTACCCATAGAGTAATTAAGGTTTCATCAACAGCATTTAGTAGTCCACTGCTGGACATAAACCTCTCCATAGAAAGGAGGTTTTGGCCTACTATAGTACGCTAGCCAAACGGGTTTGGCTTCTCTTTGCAGTGCTGTTGTCCTGCATAGTTTGCTCCCTTAGTCGGCTCTTACGACACCCAAGTGATGAATAGGGGTGGTGACATTCCATATTCTTAATCCGTCACCACACGATTTAGGTTTAGAGATTCTCATATAAGATTTACATCACATCCATGAACAGACAATTGAAAATATTAACAGTGTTCATGGTCACAAAGATAACAACTTAATAAACCTTCACTCCCATTTTTATATTATAAATGTGGAAGCGAGTTTGTTTATTTGTTTGTTTATTACGCTTTCACGTCTAAATCACTAAACCGATTTTAAAAATTCTTATCCAAATCGTAAGCTATATTATTAGCGAGTTACATAGTCCACTTATTACCGCGATAATCAACATACACGCGGGCGGAGCTAAGTGCTAAAATCTAGTGTTTAAAAAGGTACAGGCAATCGACAGTACATAACTACGTCATCAAGTACAGGTCCCACCAATGCACTAACACTAAGTACTCGTAGTTATACTTAGTAACATGCTAACACATTAAATATTATTAATATAAGGATTTGTTTTCAATTATAGGTTGAGCAAGTTTCCTTTGAAAGTGTTTTGAACGAGTTGACATTTTTTATTTCTGTATGTAGTTTGTTGTTCTTACTTAATTCATAAGGTATTCCATATATTTATATTTAGAAGTATTTGTGTAGGTATATTTACAACTTTTTTGTAATGATTCATGCAGAGATAGCTGAATCGATTATGATGTAATTTAAAGTGCATGTAACTTTAACATGTAGGTGTAATAAAACT